TTTCTCCAAGAATTGTAAAAAGTATAAAAATATAACCCGTGTCATGTACCCCGTTGGTGGAACCTTATACGATTATCCTGTCAGTGATAATTCTATACCAATACAGTTTTCTTCGCATCTTTTATTGTAAAATTCTGAGACAAGTTGAAGAGAAATAATGACATAATAATGAATATAATCTTGTTTGATTTGAAATATACTTTTGAGTATTTGATGCCAAACAGGTGCTTGTCAGGTCCAATTCAGATACACGGTAAACTATCTTATTATTTATCTATTGAAGATATTATTTACATGGTAAAATCAGTCATTTTATGTTGTGTCGAAAAAGCGTCAAATTCCGTTTTCCACATCGAGATTTTCCACACCATGAACGAAAATTAGGGGATATATATATCGTCTTTCTCTGACGTTGTCAATGACATAAAACCAGCCATGCCGTCAAATAGAGTGGTGTCATTCTTAAGTAATTCATTACATTTGATAAGGCTAGTGCGCCATTAATAATGGTGCAACATTAGTCAACTTACAATTACGCAATCAGGAGAATATTGGAATGTAAGGACTAATTTATAGATTACAAAGGGCCGTCCATTTCGCTATCACCTCATGAAGAACGATTCCATCATTTCTTATAGGTTTATTTTACACCTAAACGTACACAGTTTCAATATCGATATTTGTGTTGGAATAGTTTGGTCCTTGAACAAAACACCACGAAAATATATTGTCCTTACCCCCAGGTAATTCTCATCCAGTGACCTAAGTTAAATAAACTTGTGTTAGCACAGGCGGAGTTATGCCACCTTTTCTTTGAGTGTGTGTGTGTGTAACCTCTTTGGCGCATTTTGACGTCATAGAGAAAAAATCTGTTTTCGTCATTTACGACAGGCAATTTTTTGCATTGAATGTACGTCGTTATACATACGCATATAGCTCCATTTAAAATATTGTTATATCGTTCAGATATTAGGCAGTATTTTGTTCTCCGACAGTTTCAGTAAAGCTGCTAGATAAAGAAAATATCGTCGCACAGTATTTTTATCGGTGTACGATAAAAAGCGGAGAAATTCAACGCAGAATAAATTCTCGAGAAACAAAGCAGTGTCTTTTTTCAAACCGGTTTAATATTTGTAGTTAAATTTACACCATTAGATAGGAAATTTAATATTCTACATTTCTGCGTAATATTATAGCCGGAGGTAGATCCAGTGCCGCGTGAGCGCAATTCTCGCACAACCTTCACTTTTCCGATGTTAGGTAAATGTGCGTAAAAAAATTAATCGGCATCCTTTTCCAGCGGGTTAACGCCGCTTTGAATAGTATTCCAGTTATATTATGGAATGTCAGGTTTTTTTAGGAGGAAAGTCCGAAGCGATGCGGGCCTTAGGCGTTCATGACTTTGGTGAAACCCACGAGCACGGGTATAGTGCTGACAACACACTCGGTGCGAACCGGCATTAGAACACACTGTCATAGATTTCTGGCATAGCGTCCCCACCACCTACACAACTGTAACAAACTATCATACAACAAAGATGTCAACTACAAATTATATGCACAATAAGTGCTAAACACACAGGTACATTCACCATACAAAGGAGGTACATTATAACAATTTCTTTTAAAAACAAGTGTAGTATGATATGGAAACAATATGAGAATTGAACAAAACTATGATAATGTACATACAAGGAATTTGTTAATAATTGTTGCTATGGACGGGTTGGACGGGTCTTGGAAATTGTTTCTGGAGAACATTATTCTAAGAATTGTTCCATTTAACAGAGTGGCCAAATTCTTTATCATGATTGAGGATTATTTTGGATTCTCTTTCTTGGTTCTTTTTATACAAGACAGTGCGTAATGTTGCTCTCCTTCTAAGACTTCACATGTTTCAGAGAGACATTGTTCCAATGGGGTTGGTATTGTGTATATCAACCAGTTTCAATTTTTAGTTTGTGATTACTTTAACGAAGTTTTTTTAAATGTGACCTGTGAGCTTGGTTTTTACAATATGTAAGATAATTCTCAATATTTATAGATGAATTGACCAACTTGTTTGTTCTTAACTTGCTGTTGGATAAATGGGAATCCCTTAATGAATGCGTGAACATATTTTTACATTTGGACTGAAGCTTATTTACAGTGAATCATTACATTTATTTGTGTTTACTATTTCAAAAGTTTGTTTTATTTAACCCAACCAACATTTTTACCAGAAAGATTGATATTTGCTGCCAAAGCATATTTAAGAATGACATTTGTTGTGTTATCTATATAAGACGTGTAATCAATTTAAAAAAAATATTATTGGTACTAATAGTGGGTATATACCAAGTTCTGCCTGACAGGCCCAGTTATGTGTTTTCTTGCCTTGGCTTTCCGTGTGCTGACCTTTTAAAGACACTGTTTCCTTATTGAGCTTTCCAAAGAACTACATTAATAACAACCAATTCGTACTTTACACCAATTCTCTCCTCCCATAGCTTACACTTCCTTCCTCTGCATATGACATTATATGACGGGGGACAATTGATACACTGCAGCAATCTCGACTTGTACTAAAGTACTGTCAGAAATGCTAGAACACTGCTTTTCTGGCTTCATTTAATAAATACACCAAAGGACTATATAAAAAGAGCATATATCAAAATAACGCAAATTGCTCTAATCTAGCCTGTCCTTACTGACACTGTGATTACCCTTAAAATGTACTTTTACAGGTAAAATGATGATCAATTTAGAAAATATTCGTGTGTTGTCATGCATATATGAAATGGCCTATAACCTGAGATAATTACCTCACAACGTCACGTGCATTCTCCCAGGTGCAAATGTCACCGAGTTGGGGATGGTCTCAAAATATTGCTGTTATTGTACTTAATTGACATGTGCGTTGATGGGGCGGCAATTGAGGATATGTACTGCATTATATTTGCTTGGACACATTATGGATTAGTTAAGAGCTATGAAACGGGATGAGTATTGGAAGGTAGCGGTTTTGGAATCCACAAGTGTGTGTTGTACTACGTCGTCCGCTGATGACGTATATGAATCTGTACTTTTGAATGTTGTGTTATGTCTTGCCTTGCCACGAACCCGTTACACTTAGCCAAGATGGGCACAACAGGGTTGAGCTCAAAGTCTGACTGGCGTACGTAAGACAACGTAACCGTGTTGTGCCGCCAGCACGTATGTCTTGTATTTTAATACTGGTTTCTTATTCAACCGAATTTTCTCCACGAGTTGAAACTTCGTGTCATATATTCCTGTATGGTCGCCTTCGGACTACTAATGGTTTGGGCGACAGTATCTGATTCCCGGACGCTATATTAACTGGCGTTATCCATGACAATAACACTGGCGTTGTTTAGAATTGGCAATAGCTGAAGTTTTAACCAGTCTGTGAATACATCACCTCCTATAATTTCCTTATGAAAATCATCAGTTTTCCTTTTCGCCTATAAAACTAACACACATCTATCCAGAAGCCCCATATCATGGGTTGCAGCGTGCAAAACAATGACACGATTACCTTTACCTGATGGTCTTTGGGTGATTTTTGTCCATCTGCCGATAGCCACATGTAGTCAGTGGAATGATTCATCACGGTAAATTATCTGGACGCCCTGACTGTGATAGTTATGAAAGGTTCTGAGATAATGTGACCTCATAGACAGGAGGGAGTATTTTCCCCTGAAAAGTGCTCGGTCATAGCCACGCAATAGTTAGTGCAGTCCGGGAAACATTTATTGTATCTTTAATTCCTCCCAAATCCTACTACAAGTCAGGGTTACATTCTGCTCATAAAGCTTGTACACTATACGCCTAATCACCCTGTATCAAAGCTGTCTTATATGCTTTTACGTCCCGGTTTTGTTTTTGAGACCACCCCCTATATACCTGTTTAGTTTCATTTATCACACCGTAGACTTGACGATATGAATTGAAAACCCCATAGCTTGGGCAGTTCTGTAATTCACCCTATCTAAATCAATAAATGGTTTCCCTCTATCTCTCAAAAGTGTAAAGAACTTGTATAAATTTCCCAGTACAGACTCCGTATCGTGTGCCATGGTTATGGCTATGCATGTGTAAAGTAATAAGACAGCCTTGTGGGGTGATCCCGATAACTGTCAGTCCTCGGTTTGGGGAATTAGCTATTGGGAGCTAGCCTTGAAACAAGAGGGAAGAGGGCTGTGAGGTTCTTAGGGTTTATTCAAGCAAGTATCATATCATTCAAGTTACATCAATTAATATACAATAGTGACGTACATTCATAATAATGATAATAATATGCTAACACATTGTCCATCTAATGAAGGCATAATAATAAAGGCAATGTATTTAATATTGGAGTATGTACGGTAACATTATACAACAGATGCAGTATTTACTAGAATAATAACGGTAATGCTAAATAACATTCCTTAACAGCTAAATTGAGTGGTCATAACATTTTAATAGAGCATGTACGGTAGACTGCGCAAACTGCTTAGATGAGAAACATGACATTCACTTATGAAAAGACATTAATATTTGTAAATACTTGATCCAAATAAAGATACGAATGTACGCGGTAGAAGATATAGCTCGGTTTTAGTTAGTGTAATTATAAGTTTTAGTGGTGATTACTTTGGTGACTACGGTATGAATCACGGCGGCTATGTTGCTATTGACTACGCGCATTTCCTACATATATACGGAGCTAGACGATAACAGCTAATGGAGTGAATACGGTAATTGTATACTTGAACGATGCGCGTTTGAATGTACGTCATTATGAAGTATAAGAGATGACTTTAACAGTATTTAAATGACTACGGTAATGAAATTGTGGTATAGGCTGTGTTGCAGCGTATGCAACTATATGAGGGACGGGACTCTTTACAATATATTCAAATACTTACTTGATGAAGATAAAACCTAAGAAATATGGAATGCGTTGTTATAGCCTATTCTGTAAGCGCACACGGAAGGTAAAGCTGCACATATAACCTTTGATCGGTGGACTGTCGGAAAATAGGGAATAACCGACCTACGTTTAGAATAAATCTTGCTTGAAACAGTTGTGTTAACTCTAGGAACCGTTTAGTGACTAAGCTACATGGACGCTACGCTAATGCACGGAAATACAAACTGCATATGCATCTGGCATTTTGAACAGATGATGTTAGACATGGAAGGGGAATATAATCATTGATGTCGAAATATAGGAGAGAACTATTGGTGCCGCATATTAATGACACATAAACTGGAGGAGCACACGACGCATTACACTTCAAACAACACTGGAAAGTGCCTGAGTATTAAACGGTAAATAATATATAATGAACATTCATTTAGAACTTGTACACAGTAGATTGAGAGTAACAATATGCAGTACTGATTCAACTTAACTATAACATTTTCTAGACCATAATAACAATGAAATAAGAAGTTTAGTCATAACATCGGAATATTTAAATGTTTCTTACCTTGAAACAAGAGAGAAGAGAGCTGTGAGGTCCTTAGGGTTTATTCAAGCAAGTGTGCTGAGGACCAACACCCAAGGAGTTATATACCCCCACAGCTCTACTCGTATCACATTAACAATTACTTTTACTTGTAATTTCGGTCTCTGTTATCTGCCCTGGGCTGTCAAAGTTGACTACACAAAGGCAGGTGGTAATAGAATGGTATCAGTATTGCCTAAGAAGAGTTTATTTTAATTACAGTTTAAGATGATGGTCAAAACCTGCGCCAGCTGGTAACAAAACATTTATCAAGAGAACAAGGGCCGGGGCGGTATCCTCCCAAAACGTAGACCTGCCAAAACGCAGACCCGTTAAAACAACACTCGTTATTGCTGGTAAAATGGGTATAGATTTTCGAAACGATCTTAGCTAAGATAAATCTTAACAACTTACGTTCAAAGATAAGATATCTTAAGGCTAAGATAAGATAGATTTTCGAAACTATCGTAAACCTGTCGCAGATCGTTCAGAGTTACGATACCTGTCGTAACTCTGACAGAGAACTCATTTGTGTTAGAGATTGAAAAAGCGGGGTGTTTCCCAGAGTGTCACGGGGATTTCCCAGCTGCATATGCGTTCAGCATTTAACATGCGTGTTCAAGTCTGATGTTAAGTGATGTATACTGTTTATTTTTATGTTTATGTCAAAAGTCAAGTTTATATTAGTGTAAACACCAACATTATACGTGGAAACACTCAAAACAAAAATTGTTCAGGAAGCAGCGCACCCACAAGCAAGTTTATATGATAATCTCAGCTTGTTAAGTTTGTTTTGTTACTTATGTATCCAATATATTTCACGAATAAACCAAGGACTTAAATACAATATCAAGCTATTAGTATTTAGATGATGAAATTATTTTTTTATCTATCTAGATCCATAATTATTTTCAAAATTTAAAAGTGACACTAATTTTCGTTCGCAAAGAGAGATAATTTAGGAATGTCAAGTTATGTTGTCTCGTGGAACACGCCACAAGTTAACGTGAACATACATATAATGTAGTCATTTTCTATCCTTTTAAATTAAGTAGAGCTAATAAACTGATTTGTCTGATTTCATTTAAATCTGGCTGAGGAGCGAAATACTTTGTAATGTGTCAAATCTATTCCAGAACGTAGTTCAATGATGTTTGGCTTGTCTGACAGAATTGCTGAGGATCATTTACTAGTATTTGTCCGTTGACCCTATACGTTACGATTTTATTGTCTGAATGGTCTCAAGGATATCTATATTTTTTAAACATAAAACGGGAAGATGTAGACTTAAATATTAAAAAGACCAAAATATTTAAAACCGGTTTATTGAATGCAAAGATTATTGTGTTGAAAATGTGTATTTTATGTTGATCAGTAAATTTCATTCAATAAACTTTTTTTCTGCGAACATATATTTGAATGTGAATTTTGGACAATGTGCAATCTATGCTACATTTTGAAAATAAAGACTAAAGCATTGACACAAATGCGACTCAGAAAATATAACAGCGGAACTCTGCGCTTTATGAAAACTGTACCATTGAGCAAGGTGTCCCGAGCGAATACAAAGGGAAACCACTCTCCACTAGAGTTTGAACTAAGATTAGCTCCCCCTAAACTATCAATAAGGTCACGGTCATTACTGTAGCCTGCCGACACCTTCCGTTTTTATTCTTCCCAAATTATCGAAAAGGTATGTTGTTTCACACTTCTTCAGCATGGACTCGGATAGAAAAATAATGTAAGCTATCGACTCCACAGTTATGTGTATCGCTGTCGCGATAAAGAACATTTTTGACGTGAAATCCTTGATGCGTTCTTCGTGTTTTCGAAGTGTGAATTTGAATCACTCAGTTTTACAAAATGTATGAAAATGTATGAAATGTCAATGTTTGAACGTTAAGCGGACTAATTGTTTGGCAAAATATCTATTGAAAAGTATGCCGCCATCTTGGATGAAGATAAAATAAACTTACGACAGGTATAGGGCTATCTTAGATTTACGACAAACTTAAGATATCTTAGGGCTACGATAGTTTCGAAAATAGGCTACGATAGCCTACGATTTCCTTACAATAACTTTACGACAATCTTAGGGCTAAGATCGTTTCGAAAATCTAGGCCCAGGGGCGGTATTCATAAACATTCTTAGAGTGCTAAAGAGGTCTTAAGTCTGAGAAAATTCTTAGAAATACCAAAAGTTACTCTTAAATCTAAGAATTTTCTTAGCGAGTTAAGAGTATTCTTAAGAAAATTCTAAGAATGTTTATGAATACCGCCCCAGGTCTACATTATGGGAGGGAACCGCCGGGCGGACGTACGCGCAGACTTTATCTATGATTACGTAATTTACTGTTCGCGTGAATGAGCTTGCCAAGGAGCAGCCGTTATGGTCGACCAGTGGCGATAAAAACGAGAAATACTGGTCTAGCGAGTTTCGAATTTTAGAATTTCCTAGTTTAAGTTTAATTTGTTAAAAATATAAAAAGTGTAATGAAATATATGCACTGTAACAACAACTGTAACAGTAACATGCATCATGGGAGAAATGTTAACAAACAAAACGCAGCGTCATTTTGTCATTTTAGAAGATGCACATCTAGAATTTTCTCAATATGATATTTGTGTGTGGATTAGATGTTTTATGAAGACTACATTATTATCATTATAAAGGAGTCACGTGCGCCTACTTCTATAGTCCGTTTCGGACTGCCATCATTGGACTCAGAATAAAAGTAAACTTCCTGTTTTTGTTCGAATTTGTTTCCTGTAAACTTGTCGATAGGACTCCTTGTGACGGAAATACCTCAAACCACAGGTAGCGCGAGCGGTACTTTCTCGTTATTTCAATCACAATAGTCTGTAAAAAAATATATCCTTTTTTTAAAAGGCAAAAAGCAGTTTTCTAGCATTTCCGACAGTACTTCAGTTAAGTTCACATCAACGGCGGACAAAAGCGTAACTCGACATTTTATGGACACAATAACTGATTATCACGAAATCGGTGTATAACGTATTTGTTCAGACAGTGAACATTATTATTAGCACGCCATGATATGGCTTGGAAGAAGTAATAAATTTGGACACCTGGAAAAGTACCTCATGCAAGTCATTTACTATTCTATAGGTGGCATGCGGGCTTGGAATTTGATATCCTACACCCTATATTTATTTTGATCATTTAAATAAATAAGACTTCACTCAGATTTGGAATGACTTATCTGTTACAATTTGGGACTTGGGAGAACAGGAACCTATCTTAATGGGAACTATATTTCATTGATCCGATTAATTTCCCCTGCGCTCATTTAAAAAATGAATATGGACTTGATTGTTGTCGAAACAAAGGACAAATGGATTAATCTAAATCAACCGATTAATAAATGAAGTATGCTTTTTAAAGTTTAAATTTCTATTTTCATCAACAGACTGTTCATATTACATTAGTACATAATCTGACCCTGCTGTAGAAAACACCTTTTTGGTGGGAATAATCAGTGGTTTCTTTGAGTACATCAGCATAGCAGTACACTTGGTGTAAAATCCAATTTCCTTGTATACGTCAATCGCCTTCTGGTTCTCAGCGAATGGAGTCACTTCAATAGTGTTTCCATCGGGTACTTTGTCAAACATCGTTCTGATAAGTTCGTATCCTACGTCGTCAGTATCTGCATACGTTGGGCAGAACTCCCACTCTGTACTGGTTCTTTTCAGAGCTCCATAACCGATTACGTCTCCAGACATGGATTCCAATGCCACGAAGACAAAGGATGCGTCAGCAATGATGAATCTGTGAAATACAGCAGTTCTCTTTACCGGATGTATCCGTGCATCGTATTTCTCTAACCGTTCCAGAGGAACGTCAGCCAACGGAAGTATGCGGAAACCAGTCCTTCGTAATGGTGGAAGCTTTTGGTTGGTTTTCTTCAGGGACATAATGGTAATGTCATGTAACGGCTTGAATAATTTGAGGTTAAGCTCAGGCTTAAGTGTGGTGATTAAAATATTTTTATCCTGAGCTCCTCTGATTGCTGTATTACTCAGTTTCGTTCCGATCCCTTGATCTCTGTGTTGCTTATCGACAACATACATTCCACCATGACAGGTTGTGTTGTCTTCCAGGGTGAACATTTTGCACGTACCTAAACTTGAAAAACACCGAATAAATATAAATTAATGTGAGGGGAAGGAAGAGTTAATGTCGGAGGAAAGTCCGAAGTGATAAAGTAGGTCTTAACCGATTACCACTACTTGGTGAAACCAACGAGCATGGGTATGGTGCTGACAAACCAAGAATCATTATGAGAGCGAATAAGGGATTCCAACACACGACGAAGGTTTCGGAGATGCGACTCCCTAAAAAATGGGCCCTTATGTGTGAGGTATAGGTATGAACAATCAGTAAGTTGGCTTCCAATCGCCGCATGAGACAAGATGTATCTTTGTGCTCAAATTAACCTCGAAACAACCTCTCAAATAAGATTCGAACCCATACAACGACATTGATCTGTTTGATTATCTCATGCATAAATAAATACACAACCAAATTTGATATTTGTGGCCATTTTGAAACTTATTGCAAAATTTTGAATATACGTTTTCAAAGCGTCTCATTATATTTATATTTCACTGGGTCCAGTCTATTAGGCTATTTAAAAAACAAATGAGAATACCTTTTTAATAAACACTTCTGATTTGCATCTGTTCATGTGCTGCCTCAAGTGTGTCAGGGGCCTAGTGGTTAAAGCGTTCGCTCGTCACGCCGAAGACCAGGGTTCGATTCCCGACATGGGTACAATGTGTGAAGCCTATTTCTGGTTTCCCCCGCCGTGATATTGCTGGAATATTGCTAAAAGCGGCGTAAAACCATACTCACTCAAATATGTCACATGTCGCATGAGGTGAGGTGAGGTGAGGTGAAATGGGGTTTAACGTCGCCCAAGATTATTGCACTAATATATAGCGACGTACATGCACGTGTTTATGTGTGTGTCTGTGTATCTGTGTGTGTGTGTGTGTGTGTCTGTGTGTGTGTGTGTGTCTGTGTCTGTGTCTGTGTGTACTAGTCCGGAATGATCCGTGAAGATCCGGGATAGAATAGGTCTTCAGCAACCCATTCTTGCCATAAAAGGCGACTATGCTTGTCGTAAGAGGCGACCAACGGGATTGGGTGGTCAGGCTCGCTGACTTGGTTTAAGCATGTCATCGACCCCAATTTCGTGGATTGCTCCCAATTGCTCACTGGGTTGTCTGGTTCAGACTCGATTATTTACAGACCGCCGTCATATAGCTGCAATATTGCTGAGCGCGGCGTAAAACAACCAACCAGCCAACCAGCCGGACTGATGCCGATTTTATAATGCTAGCCCACTGAGATACCATGCCCCAGTTTAACATGAATACCCCACTCAGACACAGTCCATCAGTCTTTGTTTTAGCCCCTTAAATGACCACGGAGGTCATCCCTAACATTGATATTTACGATACGGAAACACAGTCAACTAATAATCTCTATAAACAATCACTCACTTGACTTTATCACGGCGTGTCAGCTCAGGAAAGTGCTAATTGGCTTCACCAAAGAGGTAAATGCTTTAACCACTGGACTACAGCACAAGGCGCCTGAAGACTAACAGTACACGAAATTGTTTCCATATGGGGAATTGAACCCGGGTCTTCAACTACCAGGCACAATTGGTCATAGAGGCAACTTTGACTCACCAACGACCGAACCGTCACTCTTTTCTGCCACCCACCAGCCCGAGGGGCTTATGTCGTAAAAGTTCATCAGATTCGGGAGAGACACGCCCCAGTCTTCTTGTTTGACCAGTTTAGCCACATGCTTCAAGTCAGACCGGCCAACCAAACGTCTGATCACAAAACCAGCCATGATGGTAGTGTTGAATTCACCTGGCCCCTGTTAGAACACACAACAGAGATGCGTTGTGACCCGAATGAGGCTGAATGATTGGCATGGCCCACTTTGGTACAGGGGTTGTGGGTATGCCGTGGTACAACAGATGTAATTACACTAGTATGTAAGCATTGACATCAGCTATGGACTACTTGCACAGTAGCATTGTTTGTATCATAGTTGCGTTATTGTCACATGTGACAGTATCGTGTTCGTGGCTGCCAGGTTTATGTATTGCACTTATTACCTATCAATCATATTCGGATCGGCCACGCACACTTTTCACTCTGGTCGGTGAGGGCTGAGTCACGTGCAAGTCGAGAAAAACGGAATCCACTAAATCGTGATCAACCAGATACAAATTTGATGCGATGTCAGGTTTTATGTGCCGGTTATTATAGCATTTGAGAGGGTACAGGCTCACTGGTTGTTATTACTAACTCAAGTTCCTCGTATTCAAATGCGTGAATGTTTATAGATATTATTAGCGGACTGTGTTTCCGTATCGTGAATAGCAATGTTAGTGATGACCTCCGTAGAGCGTCCGCCCGCAGAGCAGAAGGTCCGGGGTTCGATCCCCGGCCGCGTCATTCCAAAAGACGTTAAAAGATGGAAATTGTTGTTACCCTGTCAGGCGCTCGGCAGTTAGGGGCTAAAACAAGGACTTGTCGGCTCGAAAACAGTACACTGTGTCTGAGTGGGGGATTCATGTTAAACTGCGGCATGGTATCTCAGTGGGCAAGCACTATTAAATTGGCATGCGTCCGGACTAAAGTACTGTCGGGAATGCTAGAAAACTGATTTTTGCCTGTTAAAAAAAGATATATTTTTTCACAGACTATTGTTATTGAAATAACGAGTAACTACCGATCGCCATACCTGTGATTTCAAGTATTTCAGTCACAAGGAGTCCTGTCGAAAAGTTTACAGGAGACAAATTCGAACGAAAACAGGAAGTTTACATTTATTCTAAGTCCAATGATGGCAGTCCGAAACGGACTATAGAAATATTCGCACGTGACTCCGTTATAATGATAATAATGTAGTCTTCATAAAACATCTAATCCACACGCAAATATCATTTTGAGAAAATTCTTGATGTGCATCTTCTAAAATGACAAAATGACGCTGCGTTTGTTTTGTTGACATTGCTCCCATGGTGCATGTTAAATTACGCTTCCATAGCCATAACCATGGTACACGATATGGAGTCTGTATTCGGAAATGTATACAAGTTCTTTAACACTTTAGAGAGACAGAGGGAAACCACTTATAAATTAAGATAGGGCGAATTGCCGAACTGCCCAAGCTACGGGGTTTTCAATTCATACCGTCAAGTCTACGGTATAATTAATAAAACTAAACAGGTATATAGGGGGTGGTCTCAAAAACAAAACCGGGACGTAAAAGCATATAAGACAGCTTTGATACAGGGTGATTAGGCGTATAGTGTACAAGCTTTATGAGCAGAAGGTAACCCTGACTTGTAGTAGGATTTGGGAGGAATTCAGGACACAATTAATGTTAACTGCACTAACTATTGCCCTCCAAGAGATTGGATTTCGATAAACTGCGCGTGGAGTTGACCGAGCACTTTTCAGGGGAAACTATTCTATCCTGTCTATGAGGTCACATTATCTCCGAACCATTCATAACTATCACAGTCAGGGCGTCCAAATAATTTACCTTGATGAATCATTCCCCTGACTACATGTGGCTATCGGCAGATGGACAAAAAGCACACAAAGACCATCAGGTAAAGGTAATCGTGTCATTGTTTTGCACGCTGCAACCCATGATATGGGGCTTATTGATGTATGTATGCTAGTTTTCGAGGCGAAATAGAAAACTGGTGATTTTCATAAGGAAATTATTAGGGGCGATGTGTTCATAGACTGGTTGGAACTTCAGCTATTGCCCATTTTAAACAACGTCAGTATCATTGTCATAGATAACGCCAGTTAATATAACGTCCGGGAATCAGATACTGTCGCCCAAACCATGAGTAGTCTGAAAGCGACAATACAGGAATATATGACATTGTCGACTTCAGACTATATGATACGAAAGTTCAACTCATGGAGAAAATTCGGCTGAATAAGAAACCAGTAAAGTACAGGACATATGTGCTGGCGGCACAACACGGTTGGTTGGTTGTTGTTGTTGTTGTTACATTTTTTATTAGCCCTGTGCAATTAATAAAACATGTTCATACATTGCATTTTCTTGAAACCAAGAACAGTTGTTGAAGCGCACATAAAATACAAATATAAATACTGTAATTATTCCATATCATGGACGAAAATCTTTACATCAGTTTTGTTTGTTTGTTTGTTTGTAGTTTAACGCCGCATTCAGCAATATTCCAGCTACATGACGGCGTTCTGTTAATAATCGAGTCTGGACCAGACAAGAAGCATGGGTTGCTGAAAACCTATTCTAACCCGGATCTTCACGGGTCGGCACAATACGGTCACGTTGTCTTACGTACGGCAGTCAGACATTGTGAGCTCAACCCTGTTGTGTCTATCTTGGCTAAATGTACAGGGTTCGTGGCAAGACATAACACAACATTCAAAAGTACAGATTCATATACGTCATCAGCGGAGATAAATGCTACCTCAAGAAATCATCTGTAGAACAACAACACTTCTGGATTCCAAAACCGCAACCTTCCAATATTCACCCCGCATCACAGCTCTTAACTATTCCATCATGTTTCCAAGCAAATATAATGCAGTACATTTCCTTAATTGCTACCCCATCAAGGCACAAGTCAATTAAGTACAATATCAGCAATATTTTGAGACCTTCCTCAACTCGGTGACATTTGCACCTGTGAGAATGCACGGGGCGGTGTGAAGTCATCACCTCAGCGGGACAGGTGTCAGGTAATTACCTCAGGTTATAGGCCATTTCATACATGCCTGACAACACACGAATATTTTCTTAGTTGATCATCATTTTACCTGTAAAAGTACATTTTAAGGGTAATCACAGTGTCAGTTAGGACAGGCTAGATTTGGGCAATTTGCGTTATTTTCATATATGCTCTTTTTATAGTCCGTATAGACTCGTATTTATTAAATGAAGCCAGAAAAATAGTTTTCTAGCATGTCCGACAGTACTTTAGTACAAGCAGCCGCACACACGTTCATGCACGTCGCTATATAAGTGCAAGTACCTTGGACGCGACTTTAAACCGCATTTCACCGCATCTTAATGGAGGAATGCCAGAAAGGATGCAGGTCTCATTCGTTTGGTGAAACCCACGAGCATGGACAATGCGGTGACAAACCTGACTAAACAGAATCGGGGCGATCCGGGATTCAAGTGTTTGTTGTATCCATGTTAAACTGCGGCACCATAAAACCGTCATTAGTCTGGACTAATACAAGCAGCTACAAACAAACACGCACGCACGCACACGTGCATGCACGTGGCTATATACGTGCAATAATCTTGGACGATTCGTTAAACCCCATTTCCCCTCACCTCATATGTTATGAATACAAATTGTATTCTGCCAGGCTTGATCGTAATACCCATAGCAGGTATTAACAAATCATTATTTACTTATTGAATGCATCGGGGCGGTCGGGTAGCCTAGTGGTTAAACCGCTCGCTCGTCACGCCGAAGACCCGGGTTCGATTCCCGACATGGGTACGATGTGTGAAGCCCATTTCTGGTGTCCTCCACCGTGATATTGCTGGAATATTGCTAAAAGCGGCGTAAAACCATACGCACTCACTATTGAATGCAGCATCACGTGCACATCATCATGCATGGCCATGAACTTAAGCCACACGTGACACACATGAGGCAGCACATGAACGGATGCGAAGAAGTCTGTATTTGTTAAAATAAAAAGGTATTATAATACTCATTTTAATACCCTAATAGACTGGACCCAAATGAAATATAAATACGCATATTCAAAATTTTGTAATCTATTTTTTAAATGGACACAAATATCAAATTAAGTGGGTTTTTTGCATGACATAATCAAACACAACAATGTCGTATTGGTTCGAATCTCATTGGAGAGGTTGTTTCGAGGATCATGGTTGAAAACAACTATCAATAATCAATGTGAATGAGTAGGTTATATCGCGTGGAGAAACACACAAAACATATCTGGAGCTCTGAGTACTCTGACCTGGGGACATAGTCTGAACCGGACTCCAAACGGAAGCCCTGATATAATTATATTCGCGATCGGTTCAACGCGGCGATTGGAAGCCAACTTACTGACTGTTCATACTTATACTTCATAGATAAGGGCCCATTTGTTACAGAGTCGCGTCTCCGAAACCTTCGTCGTGTGTTGGAATCCCTTATTCGCTGCAAAATGTTCACCCTGGAAGACAACACAACCTGCCACGGTGGAATAAAGCGTGTCGATAACCAATACAGAGGTCAAGGGATAGAAAAAAATTGAAATATGGAAATACAGCATTAACAGGAGTTTAAAACCAAACAACCCATCGACTATTCTCATCAAAAAGGTGTATTCTACAGCAGGATCAGGAAAAAAACTAATGTAATGTGAACTGCCTTAAAACTTTAATAAACATACTAAGTCTTCATTCATTGACCTGTTGATTATGATTAATCCGTTTGTTCTTTGTTTCGTCAACAATCAAATTCATTTCACTTTTTTAAATGAGCACAGGGCAATTTTATCGGATCAATGAAATATAGTTCCTATTCAGATATGTTCCTTTTCTCCCAAGTTCCAAGTTAGAACAGAGAAGTCATTCCAAATCTGAGAGCAGCAGCGTTATTTATTAAAATGATCAAAATACATATAGGGTGTAGGATATCAAGTTTCCAAGCCTGCATGCAACCTCTAAATTAGAAAATTACTTGAGGTACTTTTCCAGATGTGTAATGAATAATTTCAAGCATATTAAATATACTCTTCAAAGAAAGAAATGCAAAGCCAGAGTTGTGTGAGGTACGAAAATACATTTATACGAGGAACCGT